AAACAAACGACAGCGTAAAATGAAACGATAGACGTTTTTATATCGTCATCTGATATATATCGTTATATCGAACGTCCTAACTCATGCCCACCCTGATCTGTTGAAACATTAACTGCAGCTGTTATGTAAGCAGAACTTGGCAGGCTGCTGAGCGCGCACAGGATGAAGGCCAGAGAAAGGCGATGATGACCCGAAGTAGACGAGAATACAACGCTGTGCTTGTGTTTCTGCACCGCTCTGTCTTCATGCGTCGCTCATTTCTGGGAAACATGGCATATTACCCAGAACTCCCTCCTCCCAGCTCCCTTCAGCCCCTTTAAGTCCTCCCCGTGTAGAACAGAACACGTGACCTGTGAGGCATGAAGACGAAGATGAAAACAAAACATGCTGTGGGTTATTGCTTTTTCTCTCTGGAAGCGACAACAAAGGGTCGAGCTCAGGTCGCTGCCTCCCCCGCTGCACAGGAAGGTCCTGCTGCTGATAACAGTGTGGGAAACGGCAGTCAGGGATACTTGAGGGACGAATGAGACTCACACACAGGATTACTGCGACTTTACAGTCACTGCTCGTGGGAGAAGATTTACTTATCTTTTTAATTATAACTAAACCAAAACAGCACTGGCTCATAAACGTGTTTCTTTGTCCGTTCTCTGACCCTGCAGGGGATTCGACGTCGGTAACCACTTCTGTGAATGGATGTACGACTACAACTGCGACGAGTTTCCTTTCTTTAAAGTCAGCGCTCAGAACTACCCTTCAAAGGCCCAGCAGGTGTGTAAAATACGTTAGTGGGCTCATTCGATTTCTCTAACGGACTGCTGACCATGACATGTTTCCTCGTAGCTCCACTTCATTGAGAGCTACCTGCGCGAGTCCGATCAAGGGTTCGACGGCTTGAGCACGGAGGACCAAATGAAGCTGAAAGAAGAGATGTACGTGGAGGTGAACAGGTGAGCTTACCTAACGCGGAGTAACTCGTAGGATACTGCAGTGAAAAGCTAAATGGAAGTAGAAAACACTTTGTGTCTTTGTGATGCAGGTTCTCGCTGGCATCTCACTTCTTTTGGGGCTTGTGGTCCATCATCCAGGCCCAGCTGTCCACCATCAAATTTGGATAT